ACATTAATGTCCTTATATGGACTATCTAGTAAATCACCATCAAATTCCGTGACTTGTTCGGCATCTTCTGTGGATATACGATAAATAACCGGGCGTCTTGAACCATTAGGTATATCAATGTATTCTAAATCTTCTTGATAACCGTATGGAGCACGTAGTTTAACACCGCTATCTAAAGCAGCAGCTCTATTTTTCATTTTATGCCCTCTATTATGTGGCGTCAGGCCAATTTCTTGTTCATTTGTTATGAAATCGTCATTAAGACTAGCTGAAATGGAATAATCCATTATAACAGACCCTGTATATCTACTAGAACGTGGACTACTTTCAAGATTATTGATAGAACTAGTTCCTAAAGTTAATTCTGAAAATCGTGATATGTTAGGAACATTGTGTTCTGAATTCATAGATCGTTGTTGATCTGCTCTTTGCCTTGATGACATGACAAGGACTCTCGCAGCATCAGCAGCCTGAGCTGCTTCCATATTTTCTTGATATGTAGCTTCCTGTTGAGTATATTTCACGGCCTTGTGAGATTGTTTATTATGAGAAGTTCTAGAAGTCGTATGTGAACTTTTAGATATTGTAGATGATGATTTAGCAGAATTCAGTGCAATTGTTTGTGTATTCGGTTTGCGTTGTTGTGAAGAATGTGAAGAAACGTGCTGCATAGTTGGTGATATCGTAACATTGCGGTGGGTAGGCGTTTGTTGATGAACAGGTTGCAAAATTGGATGACTATCAGAGACAGGCCGTGAACTATTACGATTTGATAAATGCGATGATGCTTGACTAAGAGGTGAAGTTTGCACATGTGTCGAATTAGTTTCGTTTATATTACGAGGAGGTTCGGCTGGAAGTATATGTGCGTGCGACATTGGTTTCGAAGGAGTGCCTTGATGTGATCGTTCACGTTGCATTGATAAATGAGGAATAGTTGATGATATTGTTTGTGGGGTTGATCCCGAAGAAACAGTTGTAGATAATACTGGTTGTCTTGATTGTGGACCAGTATCTTGCATGGAAATTGG